GTTGATATCTACTGGTTTAAGGTTTCTTCGTCGGCTCAATTTCTTCATTACCTGTTTCTCAGCTTCGATCTCTACTAGTTTTCTCCACATGCATTTAACACATGAGTTAGTTATAAGACCTATATACTTAACTATATGTACACAATATCCAGCAATAGTCAACTATACTTAACACATGGATTGTTAGCTATAAAACCTACGTATTTAACTATATTTATACAATACCCAACGATAGTCAACTATACTTAACACATGGATAATTAGTTATAAGGCCTACGTAGTTAACTATATTTTACATAAAAAAATGTGTTACCAACGCTGAAACGCAAGCAAACATGACTACACCGTTCAATATCACCCGCTATAAGGGCACACGAGAAATCAAACGCAAAGGTAAAATTTATTTTTTTCACATGCATTTAACACAAGGATAGTTAGCTATAAATCCTACGTAGTTAACTATATCTACACAATATCTAGCAATATTCAACTATACTTAACACATGGATAGTTAGCTATAAGACCTACGTAGTTGACGATTGATATTCTCAACCTCAGTCATGATAAATTTTGATTATATCTTCCTTATAGCTCGCCAAAACAAATCACCGTCAAAAGTGGCGCCGCTTTAAATGAAAAAATATTCTTGGGATTTTTTCCCCCTATTAGTTTCTTTAATTGATTTTTTTTTATATTTTTTTTGACATTCTCAAACAAATTAAATAAAGGTAATTTCGTCCAAATATTTTACCTCTCTCTTACTCACCTAATTTCTATTATATCTATGTTACTCACCTAATTATATCTCCCACAAGTAATATTAAGCTAATTTACCCTAAAATATACGAGAAAATTTGCCAAAAATACAACAAAAAAATTATAATTTGAAAACTAACAAAAAATTCAAATCCAATGGTCTAAAAATTGCCACATACCCCATTTTTCCTAACTTTTTAAATTTTTTTTTTTTTTGGTTATTCACCAAAAAAAACCCAAATATATAAATGTTATTATTTTTACCAGGTTCATTAATTTTAGAGTCATTATCTGCTATATCAATAACTTTGACTTTGTCATCAACATCCTGTAAAAAAAAAAAAATGGTTTAATAGCTAATACTAATTATACATTCTCATACATGGT